TTTGCCATTTATAACAGTTTAACAAAAATAGAATAAAAGCAATGACTGACTTTTGATTGTACATTTGGTCTTAATATCAGGTGTAAAAAAAGTTGAAGTGAGTTGAGTGGTGAGTAAACTGTGTGTTTTTTATCATAGGACAATGGATATGTAGCTGACGATGACGGATAAATAACATACACATCTTGTTACCATAAAAACTGTTTCTTTAACTCCAGAGGTCGCCTCCCAATAGAAGCTCTCTGAACCGTGAGCGGAGGCCATTGAGGAAGTGGCGGGGTCGGGTTCAGAGGTTACATGCTCGCTTTTCTCTCTCCCCAATTATTCATCAAGATTTGTCTTCCTGATGTGTCTGAAATCACTGAGAGGGGATAAGGGCCAGGCTGCGGCACTGGCTGGACGCTCTGGGTGGTCAGGGGATGAGTGCAGCACTGACCATTTGCATCAAGGCTAATCTATCAGGCAGGAAGCGCCAGTATTGTCTTTAGTCTCTGGGGAGGGTCGTCTGGTACTGATGCAAACCAACTCCTGGATGTTCAAGTTGTTTAATAAATGACGCATCACACAGTAGGCTCCTATTTATTGCTGTCGTTGCCATGGTTTTGTCAAAGTGAGTCTCTGACAGATGTTGCTGGATGATATCTGGAAGTGTGAGTGTGGGTGTTCTTCTCTGTAGCAATATAAAGATAATTGCTGAGAATTTGTGTATTTGACTTGAAAGTGAGGCTCTTTAAAAAGTCATCAGATTTGAGCTTGTTTTTGACTTTTATCTACATGTGCATGTTATCAAGAGCTGTAATGGCATTTGAGACATGCTGCAGTGTAGACTATAACAGATCAGTGGTGCTAAACATGGGAGAGGTTTTGACAGTAAATGCTGGCATATGGACTTGATGGCAACATGAGCTTTCAGTTTGATTAGACCAACATGGCTTCTATCTGTCTGCTCCCTGTGGGAACCACGACCAATTAGCGGCGCACAGCCCAAGAATGAGAGATATGTAAACTCGGAGTGAAGGCAGGGGAATACCAGGCGCCCGCCAAGTAATGAGGGGTACGCCGAGTCTCTGGGGGACCGTGGACGTCCACACATGAAGATCTTTGAAACTTGTAAGTGAGTTGATTGGGGCCTTGGTATTTCATGAAACAGTAATAAACTTTAATTTACACACTGGAGTGATTTTAATTGATTGTTTGTGAAAACGTAACTTTAAAAACATGACAAGTATTGCTATATGTCATTGAATAAATTTTTTCTTACCTCTAGTATACATACCTTTAGCTGAATATGAAAGAGAGTCAATATATAGGAATTAAATACATTGTTTATTTCAATACTAAAAACAAATTGTTACCTTTTTTAGTTTGTAAATTGCATTACTGCTATATTTTTTTTAGGGTTTGGATCTTAGCACAAGAGGTAAACTCAACATGATAAACCCATTTTGAAAGTTGTAACCTTTGCAACAATAGACTACAGTGTATGTTCATGTTGATTTAAAGACACACTGTGCAACATTTCTAGTGGAGGTTTTTTGCTACCTGCTTGTCTCCATGGAAATATTATTACCTTGTCTAGAATGTTCCACATTAGATTACACCTACGTATCACGAGGGAGACAAGAAGGTGATTACACCACGCTGCTTTACAGGTTAGATCTGTGGAGATTCACCTCTATTCACAGAAGGAATTACTGTGTTTTTTTGAGCAGTAGATCCACCCATAATCAATTCTAAATAGATATGTTTAAAGTCATACCATGGGACATTCCAGCCAAAGCTATACCATCTCCATGGAGACAAAGAGATAGCGGGCCCTCCTTATTGTGCCAGTCTAAACATATCTAAATACATCTTTTTATTAATCTCATGTTTATAAAGACAGTGCCATAACAAATCCTCTTCTCCCATTGAGCTCTTTAAACCTGTATCCTCATGACTAGTCTCAGAGTGGTGACTTTAATAAAAAGCGTAATACTCTCTGGTCTCAGGGCGAAGGGACTTTGATGAAGTGTGAGTGAGCTTGTGCACATTTTTTCGTCTGCTTCCATAGTATCAGTGAAAAACAATGATTATGGTCTCTCTCCAGGCCCAATCAGAAACACATGCCTATCAAAGTGAGCAATCTGCGGCCGTAAAGAGCTGGAGCTGAGGAGCGCATGTAAACGGCATTAAGTCATCAGGAGCCCAATTGTGATGCATTGTGGGTAGGCCTGTCACGATAACAAATTTTGGAGAGGATAATATTGAAATCAAACCTTTAAAACAGAATTATCCACACAAAAAAATACTAAATATAAAGTGTTGTTAAAAAATACCAACTTCAGTAAATAAATAAAAGAATGCAACAACTAAGTAATGAGTATGATTGTAATGAGTCATAGAAGTTCATAGTTCAACCTTCTACAGCTCAAGTCTTTTCATAGTGCAGAAAAAATATCCAAAAGTTTCTCACTTGTACAAAGAAAAAGTATACATTATAAATACTGACCTCCAAAAATAATTGTTCCATCTTTCATGTATTGAATGATAGGTCAATATATAATTTATCGTGACAGGACTGACTGTGAGAGCAGAGGCACCAGAGAGCGGAGACTGCAAAAGTTAGGCAGGTATAAGGTAAAGGACAAAGGACAAAGATGGATGTGTTATGTGAATGGCAAGTATCCTCAGGTAAAAGCAAGGTATCGACATTCATAGACTGTATATTTAAATGGACATAACTTCCAAATAGGAAGTTGGCATGCAGGCGGTTCCGGCTCCGGCTGGAATATTGTGGCCCCTCTCTTTGTAACTGCTGCTGTGAGCCTTGTCATTTTGGTCTTAAAATGTTTGTATTTACTTGCTCTACATGATCCTGTTTTTTTTTTATTTTTATTTTTTTTTATAGTTTTCCTCTGGTGAGCTATCTTTACAAAACGAAAATGCCATAGAGCTACTCAAATTAGTGGCTGCAAGATATTGAGTAAATATAATAGCCTTCAGATGGCGTACAGTTTGATACCTATAAAACATTGACACAATTATTATCCTTTTTTTAGTGCACCAAGATAGGCATCAAAAGTATACATGTACAATGATTAAGCAATTGAATTAAATAAAATTGTACTTACAATACAATACATATGATTCAGAAATCCCTTGGTGAGCTACTTGTAAGGGGGTGGAGAGCTACTGGTAACTCCCATGTTACAGGTTGGAGACCCCTGATAATTTCACTCCTACAACCGATAGCATTGTGAGCTTCATTTGAGTGGCGCTGAACTCTTTGGGTGAGGTCACACTCGCTTAGTCCACTTATTTACAGTCTATGTCTACATTTTATTCAGGATAATGCTTAAAAGTGCACTGTGTAACTTTTCTGGTAAGAGTCCAAGTAGGGAGATTGCTTTCACTGTAATGTACCACAGTATGGCATTGAATTTGCTTATTATTTAATATTGCATTGTGTAACTTTTTCTGGTAGAGGATCTGTCAAATACTTTTCTTCATGGAGATGTTATTGCTTTATCTGGGATGTTTCACAGTATGGTATCTATCTATCTTCTATCTTCATGGAGACCAAACCAGACCAAGTTACAGGTCAGATCTGTCGAGGGGTGACCCCACTCACAATCAGAATGCCTTTTTTTCTAGGTATAGTTGAGCAGTAAAACCACTTGAATAAATGTAAGGTAGAGCTATTAATGCCATACTATGGAACATTCCAGGCAGAGGAATATGTCATCCATAGAAACAAGAAGGCGACAGACCCCCATCCAAAAAGTTATATAAGTACTTGTGTTTTTTTTAAACAATAAAACATATCCGTTGTACTATAAGCGGCCCACCTCTTCACTGACTGGACGTGTAAATTGGCTTGCTGCATTTCTCCATGGGAATAGATCAGTTTAACATCATACTTAACATACATCATTTTCAGGCAAAGCAAAAACATCTCCACACAGTGCACCTTTAAGAACACAGGGCTGTTCTTGACATGCCCTGCCGATCAATTTGTCAACTCAAAGGGTGTGCAGCTAAAGCTCTCAAAACTATTCACGATCTGACCCAAACTGCACTCTCAAGACTACAACTGTATGAGAGTTCATTCCAAAAATAACTGTAGAAAAGTACTAGGAAACTTTGTATTAGTAAATAAAAAGGCAGATAAAACTCAAGATTCACTTCCAAATCTTCAACTAAGTCACATCCTACCTTCTCCTTCCTGCTATTGTCCCATATAACTCCTTATAATCTAAATTAAATAGTCGGCCAATACACATTTTGGTTGTCTTAAGATACATTTTATACAAGTTAGTAAAGCCTATTTGTATAGCGCTTTTCACAGACAAAGGTCACAAAGTGCTTCACCTGCAAAAAAAGTAAAAAAATGACTAAATGCCAACACATGATTTTTTACTTTGAATAGCCCTGATAATGTTGCTGTGCTCTGTTTGTTTGTGCAGGGTTGTGGGTGGTGATCATTCTGCTTCTCATCGCCATTGTAGTTGTCGCTGTGTGGCCGAAGTAGCTGGATGAACCACTGCACTTTTTCACTCATCTATTACAAATATTCTGTGATTTTTAAACCTATTTTTTACTATAAATTTATTTCTTGCAAACTTACAATGAAAACAAACTTGAAGAAACTAAATTAACATATTTCTAATGTATGAATCAGAAGAGTATGCAAAAAAGTATGATTTTTATTATTTTTTTGGTGATCTTTTGTCAGAAGCAGTATCCTTATGTTCTAATGTCATCCTTGTAATTACTTTACTACTTACTGTTAAAGTTAACATTGTTATTAAAATAAAGTTACACCTTTCCTTTTGTTACTGTAAATGATCAGAGCTGCTACTTTTTAATAAATCATAATAAATGAAAACATTTTAGTGTTTGGTGTTTACATATGAGGACTGACAGCCAGGAAGAAAAGGAATTTTGTTCAAAGAAAGGAATATAAAAATTAGAAATGTTTTTTAAGTTTCAAGAGTTTATTTATTCTGAAAATCGGACTTAAATTCTACCAGATTGGTGCGTTCAGTAGTTATTATTTCCTTCTTTATTGCAAAGATCTAAACATACCACAAACAATTAAAGTTGGGAAAAAAACAAAAATTCACAATGTCTTGTGTCATTAAATATATTCATATATAATAACCATAATATATTAGTACACAATGTAAAACAACATTGCAAAAAGTCTGCAACGGTAACAGCTAAACAACATTTACAATTCATAGTATGAACAGAAGGCAATGGCAGAGTGGGGCCACTGCTTTAAAGGTGCACTGTGTAACTTTTTGAGGGGAGGCTCTGTCTCCTGCTTGAATCCATGGAGATGTAATTGCTTTGCCTAAATGTTCCACAGTATTGCATTAAACATATATTACTTCCATTTATTCAGTTACAGTGGATTTTATTATCTGGAAAAACATGCATTCTTACTGAGAGCAGTCACAGATGTTTAATGCCATACTATGGGATATTTCAGTAATAGCATATCCATGGAGACGAGCAGACGACCTTCCACCAGAAAATGTACACCGTGCACCTTTTAAAGTTTCAAAACTTACAACACAAGTTACTGACAAGAGGTGGGATTACAGGTGAAATGTGCCAAAAATATGCTTCTATTCCAAGTAAAGTAAAATACTGTATGTCACTGAAGTAGCAGAAGTTGCCCGTATACTATGTCCTGTCTCATAACACTGATTTGATTGATTGTACAGGGAAAACCTCTCCAAAACCTCTGCATAAATACTGCGAAATGCTTTACTCACGAGCTCATCTGTTCTTTGTAGTTTCAATTGAATCCAGGTGAACGTGATTTTCATCCCATTCACAAAAGTCTTGGACAAATTACTAAGGGTTTTTTGTTATTACCATTTTGTAACAAGGGCAAGAAGAAAACCCTGTGAATTAAACCCACGTGTGTTTAAAAGTGAAGCGAAAGGCCCTTTTATAGATGTGTGTGCAGTTTAACAGTTTAAAAGGTGCTAAATGCAGTTTGCACACAGCACATACCAGAAACATCAAAAGTTTTCTGATAGTGTTTGGACTGAGATAACTCCAATTTTATGATACATTAGATTGAGTTTATAGAACCTGAGTGCTGTTATTATCATGCATTCTTCTGAGAAATGCACAAGTGCCAAAACTGAACTGCAAACAAACAACTGGACAATGTGGTTTGAATAAAGCGTGATCCAGCCGCACCACTGACCCAAACCTATATAACTCAATTTGTTTAGTTTATTCTCTGTAGCTGAATGGGAAGGTGCAATTACACGTATTCTGATAAAGGCCTATTATTCTAAATCAGCTCTGAACACTTGCATGTGAAGATGGCGCTGCACAAAATCTGACTGATCTCTTTTAGTTTTTCTAGTGAAATGGAGCAGTGGAAGACTGAAAATCATTGCTGTAGCTATTTTTATTATTATACGTTCCTGATGTAGAGAAATGCTCGGTATTGATCAGTGAATCAGATATTCATCAACTTGGGAAAATGTTCAAAAGTGGCCGCAAAATATCATCAGAGCTTTACAACCATCTGCTGTTCTGGTTCAAAAAAAACTTTTAAAGATGCACTGTGCAACTTTTCTGGTAGAGGGTCTATCACCTGCTCGTCTCCACAGAAAAGTTATAGCTTTGCTTAAAATGTTCCATGGTATGACATTAAACACATCTATCTAGCATTTATTCATTAGGGGTGTTTCTATTGCTCAAAAATACAGTAAATCACTCTGTGAATAGGGCTGCCTGTCCATCTGACCTGTAATGTAGCCTAGTACATAGGTTTTATTTATATTGTGGAACATTCTAGACAAAGCAATAACATCTCCAGAAATTTAAGCACATGGCAGACCCTCCACTAGAAAAGTTACGCAATGTACCTTTAAAACACACATACGTTGTCAATCTTTTAATATAAAATGCAATTTGCACTATTAATGCTGTGTTGTAATTTTGCTTTTCAAAGAAAAATAAATTCTAAGGGAAATGATTATGACTCTTTTTGTGTACATTTTATAAGTCAACATTTGATAGCACCTGAAAACTGTTTGATCTATAAAAATAACATTTTATAACATTTAATAATGTCATAATACTTAAAAAAGTAAACCAGTACTTTAGTTAACACCAGGTATGTGAGTGGTAGATTGGTAAGATCCTGATACACCATGGAGCTGGTTTGTATGACGCCCAAACACCCACAACTTTGTGGACACAGAATATTTGATAAATACAATGAAATGCACATAACCATGCAGAGGCAGTGGTAACAGATAAGTGACTCTTGATTTTGCACCGCCAACTGTCCAAAAATATCCAGAAGTGAGTTCTGACTGGTAATTCAATCCACACTTAAGATAAAGAGAAACATCTATCTGTATATAGTGGTAATGGGTGCAAATTCGGCAAATCCACGAGAGGCAACGCACAACAAAACCATACAACCAAACCTGCAGGGAGAGCTCCTTCAACAAAAATTCACTAATAACAAAAAAAATCATCCTAAATATTTCTCTTCATGCTTCTACACAAAAAGCAGCGACAAAAACAGTCTGTTCTCTGTAGTCCCGTGTCTCTCACTTTTTTCACTTCTCTGATCTGCTCATTGTAGCTCAGGGCTTCTTGCATTTGCCTTTCTTCTCCCTCTGCTGGAACTTCCGGAGCCTGCGAGCCCAAGTGTCTCTCCATTGAATCACCAGACTGCCCTTGTCAGCCACCACCCCGCTCTGTCCGGGAGAGTCCTCATCGTTGCCAAGGAGCAGGTACTTCTTTCCTGGTTTGATTTTGGGGCATTTACAGGCCACGTCTTTGGCTCGCACCCACAGAAACTGGTCTCCGCGGCGGATACGGCTCTCTCCCTGTTTGTACACCGAGATGATGTTGACGGTGAACTTCCACCACTCACCCGCCTTGTCCGCCTTCAGGATGTGCACTTGGACCGCTGCACACACACAGAACACAGAGAGAGCAGGGTTTTTAAAAGGCAACAAAGGCATAGTAAAAAAGCAGATATTAAGAGGCCTGCCACAATAATTACTACAGTATATAGACTTATCGTTCACTATATGAAAGCAGGAACAATATATCTTGGAGCTCAGTATTTATCATGTGTACATTTTCTTTGCAATAGTGGAGAGTTTTTTGTTATATGTATGTAAAACGATAATATTTGAGCTGTAGAGGGTATAATAAATAATGTCTATAGCTTTCTGCTATTTATTTATTGTGGCTCACAGCCTTTTAATGATACAGTATTAGGGATATAACGATTTGCGTCTCACGATACGATATTTATTGCGATATTTGGGAGTGGCAAAAATATCTGTAGATTGGACACTATTTTTGCTTTTAAAATACTTTGACATGATTTTGGTGTGAATTATTTCCATCATAATCCCAGGAATTCAAGTAAAAACATATAACATATCATCAATATCATGTTGTCTGCATTGAAATGAATCATGGGATATGTAGTTCCCTATGTTCATAAGCTGTTAATACTATAAAACCATGCATTTAAGCAAAGGAGCTTGTATTTCGATATATTGTGACACCCTACGATATTATTGTGAGACTTTTGACGATACAATATCACAATATTTTGGTTATTGTTACATCACTACACAGTATATTTAAATATTGGTCCAGTAAACATGTCCAGTTCATGTCCAGTTAGTTCTTTTTGTCCAGATTAAGTCTAACTTGAGTAACAGAACTTCAGATAGAGTCAGCTGCAAAGTATCAATTGAGCATTTTCCGGACCGAAATAGAGTTCAAATTTTGTGGCAATTTTGTGGTTTCTGATAATGGGCAACACTGGTACAAGAAAAACGAATTATTAATAATATAATAATAATTATAATGAGGTTTCAAACAATGTGTGAATTACCGTAGAGTCTCGAGAGGAAAAAGAAGTTTGATGTTCTGCCATTTTGTCAGATTTGGTTTATTTTCCTTGTTAAAATCTCGTTCTTTTGTAGTTTCCGCAGCACTACTGTAAGCAGAGTCAAAAGTCCTGACAAAGGCCTGTGATTTGTAATGTGATTAGGAAGCAGCAATAGAGCTATTAGAGACCTCACGACTGGAGAGACACTGCAGATGGATGAAGTGATAGACGGATGGGCGGAGGAGGAAAGGAGAAGCCCCTCAAAGGACCCAAACTCAGCATAGATCACGTACAGTAAAGCTAATGGCTCACTTCAGTTAAGAGCTAATGGAGCAAAGGAGCAGGTCTCAGCAGGATTTTACACTTAAACAATGGACCCCTCCTCATGTGATGGAGCTGTGGGGAACATCTCCTGTTGATTTTTGCAAAATGGCAAGAAAATGTTTCCTTCTTCATATGCTATATTTGTTTAAAAATGCTTCTTATAATTTGGCAGTTTTGTTGGCACTATATAGGCTTTTAACCATAAGTGTGATATATTACCAAAGTAAATATATACCAAAGTAAATGATAATATTGCAATTAATCTATGCCTCTAACACAATAATCCAAGAGCAGATTTAAACCAGAAAACTATTCTAAATTTAAAATATTGTTAAAAATGAGCTGCAATAAATAAACAGCAGAATGATCTTACTTTACTTTGGTCTTACTTCATATCTGTAATGGGTCATAGAAATTATTAATTTAACCTTTTATGGCTTAAATCTTACCATATATCCAAACCATAACCAAAGATTTCCTAGCAGTGCAAAGAAAGTGTACACATGACAAATACTGACCTAAAAATATAGTTTGTTCATATATTAAATCATATACAAAGTTGATATAGTATTTAACGTGACGGGTCTAGCACAATATGCATTTTCTGATGAAGAGTCTGCCCCCTGCTTGTCTCCAATATTTCATAGTAGGGCATTAAATGTGTCTATCTCAAAGGAGACAAGCAGATGATGCACCACCCAAAGTTACATGCGAGTAATCTGTGAAGGGGAGACCACTGTTTTTGAGCATTAAAAACACCTGCATGTGAACATAACAAGGTTAATGCCATACTGTGGGACATTCCAGCAAACCACTAACATTTTCATTGAACAAGCAGGTGGAAGATTTGATACACAGTGCACATTTAAAGGTGCATTGTATAACTTTTTCTGGTGGAGGGTCCGTCACTTGCTTGTTTCTATGGAGATGTCATTGCTCTGTCTGGAATGTTCCACAGTATAACATAAAACAGCTATACTTTACATTCATTCAGTTACTTTTATTCAGTGGTTTTACAGCTTAAAATTCTGACAGTGAGTGGGGTTGCCTCTCCACAGATCCGACCTGTAAGCAGATCTGGTTTGGTCTCCATGAAGATAGAACGTTTTACTACCATAGTGTGAAATGTTGTAGACAAAGCAATAACATTTCCATTGACAAAGACTCTCCACCAGAAATGCACCTTTAAGTTTAAAATTTATAGTGATATTTACTTAGTTGTAAAATTTTAACCCATAAATTCCGAACCTAAATCCGCATAATTTGGCTTTTATTTAACAGCGTTCCCAGTCCCCTAAAGTGTCCTATTGTTTACAAACACTAAATAATATAGCTCCTTTGCTCTTTTGCCCTGCGTATTTGCTGACCTCCTGTTGACCCGGGCAGCACCTTGCACCAGCCTGCTGCCTCTGTTTGCTGTTGTGTGTGTTTGTGTTTGAACAATAGCGTGCGTACATAGTGTAGTTTGAGATTTAACATGTCTCCTTCTTTATGTGATGCCTCCCAGGGTGATGGTGAAGCCTGGTTTCCACACAACACAAAGTCTACACACTGCTGCTCTGTTTGAATCACACTGAAGTACAGTGGTGGAAGGTAAGGAAGTACAAGTAGTAAAGTACTGTACGTAAGTAGAATTTTCAGCTATCTGTACATTTTACTGTGGATACTTTTTACTTTTACTTCACTACATTTGAAAGCAGGTGTCTGTACTTTCTACTCCACTACATTTTTAGCTGATCTGCTCTCAAATGCTGTGAAGAAAAGGTAAAAAGTACTACTTTCACTTCTTTATGTTCCACTACTGACAATGGGGATGTTATAGCTCTGGAGTGCTCCACAGCATGGCATTAAAATTGTATATGTCCATGGAGATGATCAGCAGGTGATAGCAACAGACCAAGTTAAAGGTCAGATCTGTGGAGAAATGACCCTGCATAATTTGTACTGATTAAAATAGCCTACATAATATTTAATAGTGAATAATCAGAGTTGTTTTTGTCCTTGTTGGTGTTTGATCAGTTTACACTGTCACTGAACCTTTATAAATGCTTGTTGGGATACTGCCTCTGCCCCAACTTCCTCTCAGGGGTATTTTAGAAAAGTTAGAGATTCTACAAAAGTCAATGGTACAAAGGACTATTTAAACTAGACTTTGCTGTTGAAAGTTTTACTAATGAAATGCATATTTTTGGAAACAGCATTTGAACTAGGTGGAAGGAGAGGTGGCTCAAATCTACCTTAACCCCTTCAAATCCTGTCTGTCAATATGCCCAGCAACGCCTCTGTTGGGATCAGTGGGGTGTCTTCAAACAGGGCGGGGGCAGAGGTCAAGGGTCATACATCTTATCCACACCTTTGAATGGCGTGGCGGACGGGTGCTCACAGGAATGCAGCTGCCTTAATAAGAAGATGTGTGAGAGCTCCACTGTCCCTCTCTCTGCTCAAAATGTCCGCTCAGCCTCCGCTCATCCTTCATCCTGGACTCCCCTCTTTCAGCTCCACAGTTTTCTCTGTGCCTCTGTCTCTTTTACCCAGTGATGGAACATAATAAAATAAAAGTAGTAAAGTACTGCACGTATACATTTTAGGTATCTGTACTTTACTTAAATACATTTTAAAGTGGATACTTAACTTTTACTTCACTACATTTGAGAACAGTACACTACATTTTTTTAAGTGGACTCAAAAGTAAAAGTATTTTTATTATAGTTTGAGGCCTGCTGAAAAGTGTATATATATATATATATATATATATATATATATATATATATATATATATTTTTTTTTTTTTTTTTAACATGCTTGTGTTTGTTTCTCTGTCAGTGTCTCGGTGCCAGAGTGAGCCATCACAATAGTAGAGCGTACAGCAGCTCCCCAGCAACAGAGATGAGTCTATTGCTACTTTGCAATGACAAAATCATGCAGGGGGTGTTCTGTATCTAAGTGTATGGTATAATGTTTGGCAGTTACCATGGTGACACAATGCACACACAATTAGCAAACACAGCTAAAAAGTTAGGATAGTTTGAAATGGATATAAACAAGACAGTTTCAGAAGCCTGTGATTAAATGAAAACATTTTGTGTTTGTAATGTTATTTGAGAGGGACTTGTTTAAGTGTAAAAAGCTTCTCACCTGTTGTAGCTCCAACCAAGTTAGTTCTTTCTGGTCAGACTGTATTAAAATTAAGCTTAAGATTGAAGTCTAACAAAGCCTCAGACAGAGAATGCCTACATGAAAAATAAATGAAAGTGGTGCTGTAGTTGTAAGTATAATTTGAATTGTATTCACAGGTTTTGAGGAACTTTTCCCTATACAAAAGATATTATATTTTGATTTACCATGTTAATTCTAAAACCCATGATTTTTATTTTCTTCCATAGACTCACCATAGTCCTTTTTGCAGTACTTCTTCATGTTGATTTTCAACTTCCCTTTTGAGGCTTTACAGTATGACTCACAGTCTGTTGGGAAAAAGCAGAAAACACCACAGTTAAAACAGATATAACAGAGGAAAATATGCATTACTCTGTACACTGAATGTGCTTGTAGTAGTTTGAAATATTAGTCTTTTCTTTTGGCTAAACTTAAAACTGCATGATTTGTTGTGTCTCACTCAAGCCTTGATAAGAGCGTTACATTTGTTAAGGTAGATTGTTTTCTATGGGGACTTCTTCAAAATAGTAGTTTTAAAAAAAATGGTCTGCTGTATCATGGAGCTTGAATTACATTTTTTCCTTTCAATAAAAATTTTCCAACTTCTCACTTCTCAGTAATTCATGTCTGATATATCTACAGTATATTCAGATCTACTGAACAAATTAGTGGTTCTATAGATGCATGTAGTACTTATTTTTAGAGCTACAAATTGCCATTGGCATGGCCCCGCCCACTCATTCTCCCTGGAGCTGTGGGAATGGTGCATGCAGACCACCCCACACCCTCTTCACCTCCAGCCCCTCCGCAGAGCCCCGCCCAGCGCCTGTCACATCAGCCCAAAAGGCCCCTCTAAGCAGCAGCACGTCAAGCCTTTTGCATTTATGGGACAGTGCTGAAGGAGGGGGCGTAAGGAGGAGGAGGCTGTGAAGGGGTCAGTGCCATAGAAAAGGAGGTCAGGAAGGGAGAATTAGCCATCCACAGGCTTTTAAACAGAGGGGTCATCCATACAAAAATACCTCCAGCAGATAAAACGATGGTCCAAACACCAAACCAAGATATTTTAAGGACAGGCAAATTCCTAGACTTGGATGTGTGACTAAAAATGTTGTGACTTTATGTTAAAAAGGTGTAACCAAATACTAACCAATACTTTTTTGATAAAAAATAAAATAAAAAATCATATTGAATAGAATTTTACCTTAATCTATGGTCAAAACAATATAAGAACATACGGTTAAAATAAAGAAGGTTCAGTTATTCTGTGCTGAAAATGACATTACATTGTCAAATTGTGTTTTTATCATCATTGAAGTATTTAAATCTGTTCAAGTATTATGCATTTTCCTTTGTATAAAAATCATTTAGGAATTTTTGCTTTTGCATTGCATTTTTGGTTTAAGCATCTTAGTGTTCAAAAGGAGCACTATATAAAACTGATCCATTATTATTATTTATCATTATGATATACAGCATATCTTAACCAGATAATAATAGTCTTTCCTTGCCATATGTACATGTCATGTACTAGTTAACTTGACAAAAATACATGTTAAATTTGCATCTCCTCATTAAAGGAGTGTTTTTTTATTTTTTATTTTTTTATTAATGTTACATCACAAAATGAATTTAGGTGTCTTTAAGTCATTCATTTCACATCATATTTGAGCTTGTGTGTGCACATTTACCCCATGCTTCTTTCTAAACTAAGATGTTCTTTTGGCCCTGATTACACAATGAACTCCAAACGTAGACATGAGTGCAGCGGACAGCCTTGGATCTTGGCAGGAGGCTGCACTGTACAGGCCTTCACTCTGATGATCGATTACCAGGAGGTGAAGAAGGCAAAGCTCTAACCCCACCACAAAGTGCACAGCTCTCAGTGACTGCTTCTCGCTATGCTGTCATACTGCCAGACACCTATACAATTCACTTATGCCGCAAATAACGCCATATGCTTCTATAGAAAATTAGATCAACTTCTACAATGGCTGTAATCAAAGAGAACATGATAAACAAACTTGGCTCTCACACTCTGTCCTATCCTGCTTACACAATGAAGAGCGTGTTAATAAGAAAAATGCACTCCAAAAATGTAAGATGGCGAAAGAAGGATCAGTGGTATAGAGCAACAAAGTGTGGCAAAGAGTACATCATGTTTATAAGACACAGATAAAGTTTTTTAAGTAGTGTTGTGATTGTCCAGGCTGGAGCTAGAATCAGGAAACGCAGCAGAACAGGCAGTGTAAGCAAGAGAGTAGTGTACAGGAGCTGCACCTCATTTCCATGTAAATGATGGAGGGGGCTTTATTTTCTCATCCCCCCTGACGCTTCATGATACTTGTCTTTGATAGCCATTCGTTCCCCATTAGTGTACCCCAGAGACACCCCCAGACCCCTATTTAAGGCCTGGCTGTCCCCTGTAGGGAGGACAAATGTCCTCTTTGTGAGTGCACTACAAGCAGGGGAAGTGGGAGCCGTCCTGCAGTGTGGGGCTGAGATGTGCTGTGAGTAGATGTAGTTACTCCACTGCTTTGTGCGCACTCTTTCACTGCACTCAGAGCCACGTAACTGAGTGCTGCACCTTTGGCCCCACTATCAAAGTGCTCTGCAGCCATTTCAGCTAATCGCCCTCATTTGAGAGCACTGTACTGTGTAGTATTGTGGCCTGAAACTGCTGTTGTGCTGCTTTTACATAGTTTTGGTACTACTCTGTTATGATCAGATAATGCTCACTTTTAACCTGTTACTTGCATGTCATAAACTGGGACTAATGATTTTTTTATTTATTTTTTTTACCAAAGTCACTCATGGTCTCCACAGAGCCAGCTCCATATCAGCAGCATGGTCAAACAAAGCTGTGCCCAGGAGGAGGCCTTTCTCCCCCAGCAGAGCGATTTAGAGGCAAATTGTAGCAAATAAAGCATGTAATGAGATTATGGAGCCCTGCTCTGCTCACACCACAGTGAGTTTGGATCAGCCCTGGAACAAGCACAACAGAGGGCAACAATAAGACCCTTGTGTTAAAGATGTGCAATGACACAAGTTTAAAAGACAATGTTATTTTTATGTAGGATATTTATTGATTAATGGATGGATTCTAGTTCAATTGTTCAGATAACTAATTTGTACTTTTGGGGTGATAATGTGCAATACATTTTTAGTACTTGTTTTTTGTATCAAGACTGGGCACAGTTCGTAGGTGCATCTAACAGGACTTCCAAGTACTGATGAATTGGATGAGAAATGTGTATTGTATCACATCTTTTCAGCTCTGTTTTCTTGATAAGTGCCACTATTGGATTTATGTTGTATTTGAATGTGGAGTGACTGTGCTGTCTATTCTCTGTTGTCCTGTGTTTTTGTGTCTTAAAGGAGGCAATAAAGTCTAATCTAATCCAATATTCAGCTCAGCAGGCATCACATTAAACTGTGTTTCATAAAGCTATCATTGCTTTTCTCAGCTACATGGAACATTAGTCATTGTCCACAAAGTGGGCTATTAAGACTCCCAAAAGAGTGAAAAATGACTTTGAAACTCAAATACCAAGACCATCCAGGAAGCACATAAATGCACCATAACTCCCCCAGGACTACAGACAATATTGCCAGTTCAAAAAGTGTGAGGCAAGATTCATGACCAAATATCACTCTGGCTTCGTCACCCATCCTGATGACTTCCAGAAACACAGTCACCAGGAGTAAGAACATTAGAGTGGACATTCCAATGGTAACCTACAGTCACTGACATCCTGCTTCAGCGGTCATGTTTGGAATGGAAATTTAACTGCAATTTTAAAATTGCTCATCATTATCAGTGGACTTGTCAAAAATGTATCTTTTCATTTCATAAACATGCAGTAACTCGGCATAAAATAGTGCTCACTGCAGTCTTAAGAAGATTACTGGGCAAAATGGCAAAAAACATGTTTTTCCCCTCATATTGCTCAGTCTCTTTCAAATTAGATGAAAAAAAAAAAGTCTTGATTTAATTAAAATACTGTTGATTGCTTAGCATATAAGTAACTTTTTAAAAAATGAAATACTTAGTCAAGTAAAGTTAGCTGTTGTGAGATCATTTGCTCCAGTTTCCTGGACATGCAGCTCCAAACTCCACTCTAGTGCTCTCTCTCTTCACTCCCTCTTCCTCCTCCTCATCATCAGTTGTCCTTGGCGGCCATGTGGGGTCAGCAGCGGTTAATCTGCTCCACATTGCGGCGCGTTGCAGACGTCTCCTTCTGAACCTGGAGGAGTGGTCTCCTCACACCATCCGTGACCCACAGGCACAATGTGTGTTTTGTCTGGGCCTCGCCAGCCGCACTATTCTCCATGCATTCCAGCCCTCCGTGTGGTCGCTGACACACACAAATTAATATCGACTCCATTATGCCCTCACACTTTGGGTCTCACTCCCCCCAACTGCAGAAAACATCACTCTCAAAGATCAAGTGAGGCACATCCAAGCACCTGCCTCTGCGAGTTCTCACGTCACATCAGCTTGGCCACTTCAGGCTGATTTAATCACATTATAAATCATTTATTTCAATATGTACCTTCTGCTTAAATACACTTGGACTTAGACAAACTTTATTGACCCACAAGGGAAATTACTTGGACGCTGTAGCTCACATTTGACTCTGTGCAAGTCAATGAAAAGATGAAAAGGTAGTTTTGATTTGACATAAAGTTATCTATTACTTATTTGTTAAGCAGTTGTGTGGACTATGTGTGGATGTAATCCTGTATTGTTCACTGTGGGAGTTGAGCTGTACAATTGTGGAATTGTGAAAGATACTTAATATACATCTTAATATGCATCTTTTGTGGATTATTGCAACAACTTTCTTGTGTAATTAGCTAATGCTGGCTTATCAACACCTCCATGGCAGTCCTCTAACACAACACTGCAAAAGGGAAATAAACAAGCACAGAGGCAGCTGCAGTTTACAGCCACTGGGCTCATTAATAACATGACTCCAACAGCATCTTTAAGTGTGCTAAAAACACGGTTTGATGCACATCTGTTTGCACTCATATCTGGTGAAATCATGGTTGTTGACATTTCAGCTGGAGCAGAGCCTCATGAGAAGCTGTGAGGATAATGTATGCATCGTCTGTGTGGTCCGACGGGACTATGCTCGGCTCAGGATTCTGACATGACCAGAGCAACATGTCCATCAAAGCCTGCGCTTGTGCAATCTGCCTGATTTCTACTCTCTCACTTTAGAGGAACCATGACTTTATACACACGAGAAGGACGATTCTAAACCCCAGGCTGATTAGATTATGTTTAGTTACACTACAGTGTATATGTTTTTTAAAAGGATATTATCACAGAAAAGTGCATCATAGTCCAAATATGCACCAAATTACAAACCCAGAATAATCTAAACAGAAGATAGTTAAGACTCTGGCTGTAGCGCTCAATAAAACCTAAAAAAAATATTCAATTGGTATACCTTTTTTTATGGGCAAATAATACCTCTCCCCACACCTGACCAACTACAGAGTTCATCTAATTTAATCAGTAATACACGAAATAGTGGATCAGAAATAATAATAATAATATATTCTTTATTTGTTGATTTAGAAGCAACTCAGGACTATGTAAGACAAACTTTAAGAGTCATACTACAATCTCCAAACCTTACACACAATTCCGCAGGTGCAAATAAATGAGGAATAATCCAAGCTTACATGGTATCAGTAACTCTCCTGGAAAATCTGAATGAGGTGAAGGAAATTTCCTACAGCCTAAGAACAGACAGGCTCCTGACAAAGAGGCCCAGAGGAACAGCCAATCCCCAGCTCACCACCACCCACTGTGTTATGTGAAGACAAAGCGTGAAACGGAGGGAGACCAAGGAGGTGGAGAGGGGAAAAACTATATTCAAAGAGAAGAAGGAAAGTGGTGGAGGAGGGTTACGGGCCGGCTGTATCCTGACAGTTTTGTCCAGGGAGTATTCAGGAGCGAGGAGGGCCAAACAACAGCTGTGCTCTGAGGCTGTGCGGAGTATACAGCGATCTCACATGGAGGAATTATAGGGTTTCAGCTTTAGGAAATGTTTAGATTTATTCACATTGCATCTCTAAAAAGTTGGCGCAGTGGCAATGATGAACTACAGTTGTGAGAAAATTACACTACCAGTCAAAAGTTTGGATTCACCCTCTCATTCAATGTTTTGTACTATATGTTTTCTACTTTTGATACTTCTACATTTCCTGTGCATACAGATATAAGACATCAATTATATGAAGCAGTATATATGGAATTATGTAGCAAAGAAAAAAAAGTTAAAGGTGTATTGTGTCACTTTTCTGGTGGAGGGCCTGTCAAATGCTCTTCTCCACAGAAATGCTATTGCTTTGTCTGGAATGTTTCACAGTGTGGTATTAAACATTTCTATCATCATGGAGACCAAACCAGGCCAAGTTACAAGTTAGATCCATGGAGAGGTGACTCTGTTCATAGTCAGAATGCCTGTTTTTAGGTATTTTGAACAGTAAAACCAGCTGTAATTGAATAAATATAAGGTAGAGCTATTTAATATCAGATTGTGGAACATTCCAGGCAGAGTGATGACATTTGCATAGAAACAAGCAGGTGACGGACCCTTCACCAGCACCTTTAAATAACTCTACTAAGTTTTAAAAAATATTTTATAAGTTTATGAGTTATTTAACTTTTTTCCTTTACCAAATAATTCCATATATCTTGCTTCATATATTAGATGTCTTCTTTAGACTGCAAAAACTAAAATCTAGTCAAGTTAAGATGACTTGAATTAACAAAGTTTGACCATGATTTGAGTAAATTTCACCCAGCAAGTAAAATGATCTGCCAGTGGAACAAGACTTTTTCTACTTAAAATACATCTTGCTTCACTTAAAATAAGAAAAACAACATATTTATTTATTTATTTATTTTTAAACAAACAAACAAAATTGAATGTTGCTAATGTTGAATTAAGAAAAACACACTTACTCCATTGGTAGATCATTTTACTTACTTGGTAGATAATTTTACTTGTCAAGTTTAATCGACTCAAATAAAATAAAATGTTCTTGATTTAAGTCATTTTAACTTACCTAGATATGGATATTTGCAGTGTATGTATAAAAAATGTTGAAAGGAGTAAGAAAAAAGAAACAAACAGTGAATGAGAGGGTGTGTCCAAACTTTTGACAGACCGTGTTGGTTTAAATTTTGACTGGTTGTGTATTTCTAGACTTATCATAAAACTAGTATTGAAACTACATACTCATTTGAACAGGTATCAGTAATGAAAAAAAAAAAAAGCATTAAAAGGACACATTTGGAACTGATGGAGGACTGATTGGTCTGGATCTATATTTGAAGAATTTATTAACACCATGTAGTAATGTAAAAAATAAAATAAAATAAAAAAACAACAACAACAACATGCTTTTACTTAAGTTTCTTTTGGGGCTAAAACTTTAAAGGTACACTATGTAACTTTTTGGTTGGGGGTCTGTCACCTGCTGTTTCTATGGATATGTCACTCCTTTGCCTGTAATGTTCCACAGTATAACATTAAACAGTTTTACCTTACATTTATTCAATAACAGGTGGTTTTAGAACGCAAAAATACCTAGAAAAAAGGCATTCTGACTGTGAGTGGGCTTGCCTCTCCACAGATCTGACCTGTAACTTGGCCTGCTTTGGTTTCCATGATGACAGAATGGTTTAATAAAGCATTTGACGGCCCCTCCACCAGAAAAGTTATACAATGCACCTTTAAAGAAATGCCTATATGTGATGAAAATGACATAGTGAATGGGATATTGAAATCTGTCTTGAATATTAAATCTTTTCCTTATATCAAAACTGAGTTGGAAATGTTTGTATCATGACAACACTACTACAGTTTTGGAGTCTCCATGTTTTTTCCATTGAACGATCGTTTTAAAGACTCTGCTCGGTCTGAAAGAATACAAATGTATACTGAAGCTTGCTGTGAGTAAGCCCTATTTCGTTAAAACCCTAATGGCCCAACACCAGAGCCAAGCGATACACTATTTGCATACTTACAGCATAAATCATTTGGCAAAAAGAATAAGTTCATTATACAGGATCCTATTGCAACGGGACCTGTAGGAAGCCCTGCCAGTCCAAACAAACTGCCTGGGCCCCTGCGATCCACACCCCACTGAGCTGCACTTAGCCTGATTAATGGTGAATGTGTAAGAGATTAAAGCGGCCACATCCCAGCTCTGCAGCTAATACACTTAATATTCATGAGTCCCTAATAAGGCTGGGGAAAGTCAACAGGGATCCAATTTATCTTTTTTTTTTTTTTTTACATGCATGGAAAACATTTGCGTGTAAAGGCTGCCAGAATCAAAAACACAGCTCGTTCTTTGGGTATTTCCTACTTGGCCAGATGATTTGGGGAGGGTGATATTTTGTAACATGAACACAAAACAATATACAATCTATAAATGATGTTGGAGAGCGGACTCACCAGATGGTTCCTCCGGGCTGATGGAAGCCGTAGTTGGGGGTGCAATTGGAATTTCTGCTCAAAGGGGAAAAAAACAAAGACACGTTAAATATAGTTTGATTTTTATGTGAGATGTGTTAGATCATTTATGTGAATGAGGTTTTTACAGACAAGCGTTCAGTGTGAAATCATTTTACAATTCATTCATGTAAAATTTTGTGATCAACACTGTTAACACTTTGATTCTTTCTGCTGTTTTTTTAATTTCTTGTGAGATGCTAAAAAGAGGCAGAAATACCAATATAAATGCTTTATATTGTGGTGTCTGGGAAAAGTTATCAGACATATTCAGAGTTTGGAAAAACACCAGAGTGGAAGCAGGTACTCTATGTTGGGGGTGACTGTGCAGAAAAGTTGTGCAAGAAAAGAAAAATCAATTTAATTTTCTTTTTTCTTTTTATCAGGGTTTGATCATTTAAAAACAACAACGAAAAGCTGTGTTCCAACTGCCATCCTGTGTTTGAATGATCACGACATCAACATGTGACTGCAGGTTTGCAAATGCTATAGAAGAATTTTAGAGAATTATGTATATAATTTTGAACAGACTACACATGGGTATCTGTCAGGTTTGTGATTTATTAGACTGATTCATCACTAAGCCTTGTGGCCTGGTGTACTCTGGGATTTTGTGGCTACACCAGTGTAACCTGCTCGTTTTTAATTATATTTATTTTGAAACTGAGACATTTTCACTGGTCAGAAGAGCCACAGATGGACACTAAATGCTTGTCTGTAGAAAGGAGGAGTATGTTGATGATTAGACGATAAACAGTAAAGACTAGTGCACATACTTATGCAGGGGGCAATGGGCGAGCGGCTCTGCTGGTAGCCTTTAGCACAGCGGTTGCACGTGATACCAGTGACGCCGTCTTTACAAGGACACTGGCCTGTGGTTTGGTTACACGTTTTGCCAGCAGCACCCACGGGATGGCAATCACACGCTGTAAGGGGACAGAGGCAGAAAGAGAGGCCGTGAGAGTCACACACTAGACACTACATGTGACAAATACTAGTCTACTCAGTGTGCAGGAGTACACAGAAGCTGAGAGAGAGAGAGGTGCAGTGTGTACGGACAGAGTAACATCTACGAGCACAACATCTCATTTGTCAGATCTGTTTGTGATTTCGCTGTACTAACGCTGCAGTAGAAGTGTTCTCTCATGCTGTAGTTAGGGAAATCCAAATCTCTCAATACAATATTTTCATGATACGTATCTCACGGTATTTTGTGGAGGCTAATATTGCATATATGCGACTTTACTGTCATAATCCAAATAATTAAGGTTTGAAAATTCTTAATAACAGTTTTATTGGACTGAAACAGCGCAAATAATCATGGTCTGTGTAGTTCTGTCTGTGTTTTTTAGCTGATGCTACACCATAAGAATTAATTTAAACAAAGAAAATTGTATTTGATATACTGTGATGGCTCACATTTTTATTCTGAGACTTTTGACGATAAGATATGACGATATTTTTGTTACTGTTACATCCCTAGTTGTAATGTTCCAGTGTTAAAATGGTATTGTTATTTGTATTGTTAAAGTCTGTCACTGTCCAGACTGGAAAGCAGGTCCCATGCAACTGAACCAGGGACCATCTTTATGTGCTGTCAAATGTTTTATTTTGTTTTGCTTTAGTATTCAGTATTTATCTTAAGTTTCAGCACTCGACACCTCATAAAATTGCACAAACTGTAAGCAGCACATTTTCGAAGAGTTAATTTTTACACAATACATTTGCTCTTCTGCATCTCCGAGACAGTCCCCCCCACACACTGTTCATATTATTCATTTGTTTACACTACTGATCAACAGATTATCACTTATAATTTCTGTTGCTGATTAACACGGCTCAGATCCACACCAGCATCTTACCTAGTGTAAAATATGACTCCAAACTTCTCGTAGACTAGTAATTGGTTTGTGGAGCCGCAGTTGTCTACATGTTTACCAAGTGATTCAACAGTGAAGAATAATCCTAATTGGCTGTTTCTGATTATTGCGAGGCTTTGAATGTGAGCCCCAAATGTCTGTCACACTTCCTCCCAAACTGGGGGGTCTATCCACCACATATGCTTAAGGAATGCAATCACTTTACAGTTTTTCACCCCGATACCAGCTCCTCATTTATTTCACAGCCAAAATCCAGTCATGCTAAAATCCTTCATGAATAATAAATATCCTTTTCTTCTTCTTGATATTTCAGTCTATTTTTGGACTTGTAAAATGTTGCTTGAGTTGTGAGTGTTTTGGACTGTAACTGCCAGCTCCACAGTCCTCCTGATGTTGACCAGAAGAGTGTCTGTAATCACTCTCTAAATGCACACGCGAAGCGAAGCCAAAGAGTAAAGTCACAGCTTGGCACGGGCCTGTCACTTCTCGTGTTAGATAAATCGAAACAGATGATTGTTTTCAGAGCTCTTCCACAGGTTCTGCATCTTGTCACTTGTCACTGTTAAATGCCTCGGTGCTTCTTTACGTGTGGGAAAAAAGCAGAAAATAGTGATCTTTTAAATGTCCTATATTACTCAGATTTGATTCCTGTGAGCTCATGTTAGAATGTTGTTACCTCATCAAAAATATACGAAGTTGTGTTTTGTTTCATTCACACATGTTTGACTAATCCTTTATTATTAGTCTGTCTCTATCACAAAAGCTCAAAATGCTAAGTTCCACCTTGTGATGTCATTTCCACCAGTGATGGATTTTTTAAGTGGGGGTACGCAATTCGTGACGTCATCGATGTGATGCGGAATCATGTTATTATCATTAACGGCATTCATAATCATCTACAGAACATAAATCATAGGTTACAACACATGCACCCAGGACTAAACCAGGACTAATCTTGGACTTGAGTGAGAGAGAGCTCCGAGCTCGTACAGCAGGTTGTTCACAAAGCACGATCGGGCGGCAGCTGCACTTATCCCCATGGGGTGTGGAGCTCTGTGCCTTTTCTTTCTCTTGCGGTCACCCGGCAGTCTACTCAGGTGCATCTCCAGGCCCGTCCTGACACTTAGTCCTGGTTCAGTTCTGGTTTAGACCTGGTTTAGTCCTGTTTTTGTCCTGGTTCAGTCCTGGTTTAGTCCTGGTTTAGACTTGTTTTAGTCCTGGTTCAGTCGGGTAACCCTATGGCGTACCCCTGCGTACCACGCCCACTACACCCCTGTATGTAGTGGTTGTTTTCAAGTTAACAGCTCCCTTTCCCTTTTGTTCGGTAGAAATTGGTAATTCCAGAGCTGAAACTATCCAAATGATTCTAGTGAAGGTGTATGGATTTTAAAAACACAGTGGAGTGTTTTCAGTTTGAGAGAAGAACCTAAATATGCAGGGTTTGGTTGTTAAACATGTGTGAATGAAGCAAAACACAACTCCAGGTGTGTTTGTGATGAGAAAACAACATTAAATTGCATAATATGGGCCCTTTAAAGCTGCACTATGTAACTTGTCTCTTGTTATTGTTTTGTCTGGAATGTTCCAATGTCTGGCATTAACCATATCTGTCTTCATGAAAATAATGTAATGACGCCAGTATGCCAAGCTACAGCCAGGTCAGATCTGTGGAATGCAAGTTTTTCAAGGTATTTTTGAGCAATAAAACACTTAGCACAATCTGACTAATTTTTTATGGTGAACTGAAGATCTGGGACACTGTTCAAGGTGTGCCCTTCCTCAGTTGGTTTGGCCCACTGTTTCTTGAGTGTGAGCTGAGTTTCTTGAGTTGACAGTTCTTGACTTTTTAAACACACACAGCACTCCAAAAGCAGAATTTTCAATGTACAAAAAAGAGTTAAAGGGACAGTCTGCAATTTTGGATATAGGACCTCATGTTCTAGTGAGCCAGAGTGGTGGAGACGTGTGGAGACACTTTTTTAAATATTCCATCCAGTCCTTGTATTTGCAGAGGTCGCTCCTGCTAGGCTAGTCCATGTCAATGGCCATAGCTAGCCTGCCTGTCTCACCCACTCCACAAAACACCCGAAGCAAATCTATCATAACGCCAGACTGTCGATATAAATGTCTGTGTTGATAGAATAATGTTTGAAAACTAACCTTGCATCGCATGAATCGTCACATGTTGAGGAACTATTTTCTCAGCAGCATCAGAATTTTACTTTGCCAGTAAAGACAGGTGCTGGTGATATCAGTCCACCGCTGCCAAGCTTTCTATCAGGAAGCACAACTCACTGCTGCTGCTCAGACATAAATCCTTCAAATGCAAGATTGGTTTTACTTCTAAAATTATTCTATCGACACAGATATTCACATCTAGCCTGATTCATCAGCCGGTTTTACGGTTTGACTCCGCAGCATTAGAATTTGTTCGCTCAACGGTAGGCAAATACTTTTTTATTTAACCAATCGCTGCTATTTGGTCGTGATGTATGTAATGCGCCGCTAACAGGGCTTACTGGTATATTCAGCTTTTCCCAAATCCTGTAGGAAGAAGGGCAATAACGTCTTTCCCCTCGATAAAATTCACCAAACTTTCTCTTTGTTCCAGCTTTAAATCCTGGATCTCAGGAATCATTACCAACACAGAATGTCTGGCTCTTCACTGATTTGCTGGTGCCCAAACTCACACTTCCAGGGTTTTTGCGAACCGTCTACCGTCTAGTGTATTCCGATTCCTGACCTCGTCGTTGGAGAGAAATGAAATTGAGTGGAAGCACTAGGTGGCGCCAGCCTGGCTACATCACATCGGCAGTCTAGCGTAATAATAGATTTGCCTCGGGTGTTTTGTGGAGTAGGTAAGACCGGCTAACTATGGCCATTGACATGCACTAGCCTAGCACCAGCGACCTCTGCAAATACAAGGACTGGATGAAATATTTTAATATAGTGTCTCTACAAGTTTCCAACACTCTGGCTAACTAGGAAATGAGGTCCTATGTCCAAAATTCCAGGCTCTCCCTTTAAACTGTTGTAATTTGTAGCAGTAAAAGTAATTGGTACAACATTATAATGTATACGCTTGTACTAGTATATGGTTTATGATTATGCTTCATTAGGTAAATTGTACTGTCTCTTACATGTGCATTCTTTGTCTTACTGGCTGTCTCACTACACTACTGAACCTGCTGAAGCTTTCTTTTTGTCCACCGGCTTCTTGCCATGTCTATTGCAATCCTCTCCTTTTATCTCTATGGCCCTCTTCCTCCACCGGGCTTCTGTTACGGCTCTTATCTCCGCTGTAAGTGTGTCTAAGTGTGAACTTGATAAAACCCTCCTTATCAGTCTAAAAGCCCCCTTAGAGCCTGTTTACCTATTAGTCTCCTTATCAGAGCAATCTGTCACTGCTTTCATTGCCTCCCCGAGTAGGAGGACCACTCGGCACACAGGCAGACTAAACACCATGGAGATCAGAGTGGCACGTCCTGCAGCCTGTAAATCTACCACTGCGTCAGGACGTTTTCAGGTGATAAAGGTCAAAAGGCACAAGTGAAGGAGCTTCAGAGAACTGGGGTTACATTTTTAAAGAGCATCTGCTACAAAACTATAGGTGCAGAGCTCTGGGTATGCCAGTAAATCAGAGAGCACATGGTGGACAGGTGGGACGCACTTAATACACATTTGGCAACAATAAAGATGTGAAGAAATATGTGACTGTAACCAGGCGCCACCGGACAAGATCAAGGACCTGGGTAGAAAAACAGTATTCACTTTAGAAGATTAGGTATTCAACAAAAAGCTGTTCCTTTTGCTACTATATTTCTGCTCCTTTAAAGGGCCCATATTACGCTATGTTATATTGTTGTTGAGTTTTATTTTGCTCCATTTACACATGTTGAACTCACAAACCCTGCATACACTCCACTCCACCTTGTGATGTCATGTGGTAATACAGGAAGTGCTCCACTGTGTTTTTAAACTCCATACACCTTCACTTGGATGATTTTAGATCTTGAAGTGATAATGTCAACTGAACAAAAGGTAAA